TGAGAGTCGTTGAGGCCACCTGGAGATTCATCTGTGTCCTCAGGGTCAACTGAGTGGTGCAAATGGGCGTGGAGCCTTCTTGGGACTGCTGAAAGGGCTGTGTTGTAGACTGGAGATTGATGATGTTGTATCCCTCCCTCCTCTGTGTCAAAATTGAACAGCCCTCTCTCAACAGACTTGAGAATCTGCCTAATTTTGCAGTCAATTGTGGTCGTAATTTGAGGACAACATGTAATGCAGAGGTCTACAACCTTTTGGGCACCAGGGACTGGTTCTGTGGAGAGAGGTTTTTCCAAGGACCAGAGAGTGCATGGTTTTGTGTGCTGCCTGCATCCCACGGATAGGGCTTTGCTTGTTTGTGCGGAACGGTTGCTGGCATGTCACAGCCCGGTACCGGTCCACAGACCTGGGGTTGGGGACCCGTGCTATAATGGATGGAACCAAGTTTCTGAACTTTCTGTATCAATCTTCCACATCCTGGTTCCCAGCAAAGGTTTTACTTCTAACCATACACAGCCAATACGAATTTGGTAAAAGCAATCCTAGGTGTGGAAAACAAGATAATTTCTAGTGCTCTATTTCTATGAAGTTCCTATTTCACAGCGAACTAAGAAGCCGTCTGAGAATATCCAAAGCATCAAGGCAAGAACTATCTCCATCTGCTTTGAGGGTCTTCTGAAGCTATGTGTCCACCCACACATGTGCAAATGGGTATTTGCCAGGATCTCTAGCAAATCTCTCCAATTGCTTTGCTCAGCCCCCATCCTAGACTTGAACCCATATAATTTACAGCTTACCTTCCTTTCTCAACCAGTAGCAGAACATCTGTTTTTTCTCCATTTTGGACGCAGCTGCTGATCGCTGAAACATGAAAGGCAGAGCCATTTACAAACTTAAACCAGTCGTCTTTTCCTAAGTGCACAAAATCCATAGAAAACTTATGCTCAATAACAACGGAGCTTGGAAACAATCTATTTTAATAGTGTTGGAAGAAAAATCAGCTCCAGTTCCAAGCCGGGAGAAAGACACTGAAAATAAAATGGAGGCTGGCTGCAGGAAAAAAAGGTCTCTGTTGCTTATTGTCATCTGATTATTCCCAGGCAGCACCTGTTTCTCCTATTTCCCTATGTTAATCCCCCCATTGTACATCCTATTACCTATTTATTTTAACCGTCATCTTCAGCTCTGATTTCTTACTCCTCTCTTGCGGATGTTTCATGACCCAAACTAGGTAACATCCTCACTGTTAGTGACTGACTGACTGACTTGCTAGCACTGATGATGTTACCTAGTTTGGGTCATAAAATGTCTGCAAGAAAACAAGCAAGCTCAGAGAGCACCAAGGACCCCTCATTTCAACCCTGAGCTACAAATATTCTCCTTTATTGGCTCTGATTTCTGATGGGCCGATTGTCGTCCCTAATGTTCTGATCCCTGTTGGATGGCTGGGTTGAATTTGGAGAGAAAGATCCTTAAGTTTTAATAAGGGGTCTGGATCTATTCTCAGTTAACATGGATGTCCAATGAAGTACAGGATCTTTCTGATTGATGACCTTGTTGCCATGTGGAAGGTGGAATTCTGGGAAGATAGGATGGGTTTATCAATTGCCTGGTTCAGTCAAGTTTCATAGAACAGGTCCCAAAAGTGCTTTTTCAAGAGGCAATTGGACTTTCTTGTTTTTCTTTGAAGACATTTTCATTTCTTCGGCTCTGAAGAAGAATAGAATAGAATAGAATAGAATAGAATAGAATAGAATAGAATAGAATAGAATAGAATAGAATAGAATAGAATAATGGAATGTAGAATAAAATAATGGAATGTAGAATAGAATAGAATAGAATAGAATAGAATAAATAGAATAGAGAAATGAATTAGAATAGAATAGAACAGAACAGAATAGAATAGGTATCTATATAAATAAAATGTAAATGTCCGTTTGTTCAAAATCTTAAATCTCCGAAAGTTCTTCACTAATTGCTTTGAAATTTTGACACAACGTTGCATTCGAAAAACACGCGTGTTTTTATATACCTATTATTATATAGATGTTACACCTGACTGAGCCACAGCAACGCGTGGCCGGGTACAGCTAGTTGAAAATAGAATAGAATAGAATAGAATAGAATAGAATAGAATAACAGAATTGGAAGGTACCTTGGAGGTCATCTAGTCCAACCCCGCACCCTGCCCATGCAGGAGACCTACACCATTTCTAACAGATGGCAGTCCAGTCTCTTCCTGAAAGCTTCCAGTGATGAATCTCCCACAACTTCTGAAAGCAACTTCTGTTCCACTGGTTGCTTGTTCTCACTGTCAGAAATTTTTTCCTTATTTCTAGGTTGAATCTCTCCTTGATCTATTTCCACCCCTTATTCTTTGTCTGGCCTTCAGATGCTTTGGAAAACTGGTTGACCCCTTCCTCTCTGCGACAGCCCCTCAAATATTGGAACACTGCTATCATGTCTCCCCTGGTCCATGTGAAGTTTTCAAACTGCTATGAAATCAATCTAATAATACTGTCACAAGGGTGACAGTAAGGAAAGTAAAAACATAACAGCTAGCAATATAGAACTTAGAACTGAAACGCAGGTGGATTGGCTGGGACCTATGACGAGGTCCAGGAGCCGGGTGCAAAGAGCACCATGACCATAAATAGCCTTCTCATCGACTGGAGGTTACCCTGATGATGCTGGCAGCTGTCTGCGAAAGCTTGGTATTTTAAGATTTTATTAAAACTTTTTATAGTTTTTAAAACTTCCTGGTGTTCTTACATTTTGTACATTTGTACATGAGTTTACCCAGGAATCACCTTTTTATCTTTAGAATACTTAGTAATATATATATATTTATATATTAAAATTCTTTAAAATTCTAAAAAATTTTAATTCTAAAAATTATTCGTTTAATATATATATTAAACGAATAAAACCGAGCACCAAGAGAAGTAAAGTATAAAAGTTTAAAAATTTACTGAGCCAAGCTTTCGTCAGAACCCGTCTGACATCATCAGGGCGTTAAAACAGCAGTCTGGGAGAAACCCTTATAAAGTGTGTGTGTCAATTGCTTGCATCCGGCTTCTGCTACGCGTCATCGGACCCAGCTGCTCCTGCCGTGCTAGAGGCAAGGTGCCTACTCCCATGTAGGGGGTCCCTTTAAGTGTTTCAACAACTTCCTCTACTCCCGTCCTCCAGGTGGGCGTAGCCCTTTCTATTCCTCCCGTCCGAAGCGTGCTGGTTCCTTTCTTCCACGCTTGGTTTTATTCGTTTACTATGATTCCCAAGAGTCGGATTTTTAGCGTAATTAATTCTCATATATATATATATATAAAGTCTTACTTAATTCCTGGAGCCGCCTTAGATGCATTGAATTCTCTTGTGAATTTTCCAGTTCGAGGTAAAAATACAAGCTGGTCTTCTCTAGAGCAAACCAACCCTTTTTCCAATTATCAAGGTCCTGGCAGTCTTTGTAGAACAGCTGGCCAATAACATCTGTCTCTCTCTCCTGAAGACCTTGCGCCAATTCAGGTACAAAATGCTATTGCAAACAGAAACAAAAAAAAAACAAGACATGGACTTTGTCATTTGTTAGCTAACGTGGTCACATACTTTACTATGTTTGACATAGTTATTTTGCATTTTAAGTTCACTTATTCTCTTTCCTTTGAAATAACGTTCGGGGCACATTACATTACAGACCGGAAGGAAGGAATAGCTTTTGACATTCCTAAACTGAAAAGATAATCAGGCTGGAGATTATCTCCAGATAAGAAAAAATTTGTTAGTACAAACTGGGGTCTGGTTTAATCTCTTTTTGTGAACTCCAAACACCTTTTTTTTTTCTCCTTACAATTTACGCCCCTTCTGACGTCAGGCCTCATTTTAATGAATATGTTGTTGTTGTTAGTTGCGAAGTCGTGTCCGACCCATCGCGACCCCATGGACAATGTTCCTCCAGGCCTTCCTGTCCTCTACCATCTTCTGGAGTCCATTGAAGCTCACGCCTACTGCTTCAGTGACTCCATCCAGCCACCTCATTCTCTGTCGTCCCCTTCTTCTCTTGCCCTCAATCTTTCCCAGCATCAGGCTCTTCTCCAGGGAGTCCTTCCTTCTCATTAGGTGGCCAAAGTATTTGAGTTTCAACTTCAGGATCTGGCCTTCTAAAGAGCGGTCGGGGTTGATCTCCTCTAGGACTGACTGGTTGGATCGCCTTGCAGTCCAGGGGACTCGCAGGAGTCTTCTCCAGCACCAGAGTTCAAAGGCCTCCATTCTTTGGCGCTCAGCCTTTCTTATGGTCCAACTTTCACAGCCATACATTTAATGAACATGGGATGCAAATATGTAACGTGTTTGACTACATGTGACTGATTTCCTATACAAAGGGGAGGTTACTATTATCTTGCCCAATCAACTTTCCTGTCTTGTTTTCTTTGTTGTGTTAACTACAAACAGGAATGTAAGATTGGGCTTGCGGTTCTCTCTCTCCTTTTTCATAGAGAGATCCCATTTTATCAGGGTACCCTAATAAACTGCTTTTAAAGGATCTTCCGATTCGGTTGTTTATTGGGGAAGTAAACCGAGGCAGAACCGAGGGCTAGATTTGGCTATCCGGTGTGACCAAATACTCATTCTTAGAATTAGAAGAATTCAATTTTGTAGCCTTCTTGGACTTTTGAATTAGAATTCTTTGAAACAGAAAAGTCAGAATTTTGCACAAGAAGGAAAAACATCTACTCTTAAGATGGCTTCTAATAACTCCGGGAGGAGTTCCTTAACTCAAGAATATCAAATCATTTAAAAAAACCAGAATTGTTATTTATGTTTCTTAAAAAGCAACAAGAAACCATCGCCGCTCGTCAAGAAAACAATTTTTACTTCTTTGCGATCTAAATGGGCCTCCCGTTAAAAAAAACCCTTTGTCTTAGGTCTCCTTGTTAAAACAAAAGTGTTTCTCTCCATTTCTTTTAAAGGTGCCTGTCTTAACTTGAACGGATAATTACAAAAATTACCTTAGCAATTGCCTGCGTCCATTTTCGTTGAGAATGTGCGGTTTCCGCTCCAAAGAGAAATGCACGTTCTGACAGTAAGCAGATTTCAAAGGTAAACATCGCTCTGAAATTGCGGAGGAGAAGAGGAATCAAATCTATTTAGTATTAGCTTCACAAAAGGAAAACAATAAAGTGGTACATTTTATTGTTCTCAGACCTTTATTCCTCTTGTCCTGGAAACGAATCGCAAGAGTTCTTCCCCCCCTAAAGTGCTTTATTTGTGTCGGATTTGTTTGGAAGATAATGGGGAATCAATATGCATTTGGTAGTCTAATGAAGAGGAACAGAGGGGGGATAAACTGTACTAGGGAATGAGAGCTAAAATAATGGAACTAAACCAATAATTTGGGCGGGGAAAGAACAATAGTCAACATATTGCCTGATTAAACTGGGACTTTATTTTCAAAGTGGAAAAAGAAAAGGTTGAATCTTCTGAATTGCATTTAGCTATGCCTTTAGAACAGAAATGGAAAATACGGTATTTTCAGTCCATGCACGTGAAAATTCAAACACAAACACACACAAAACAGACCCGTCCTACTGCAGAAAGTCTCACTGGCCGATTTAAAGGTCACACACGCCTTTTTCAGGCACTTGGAAAAGGTGTTCTTGTGTACATAGAAGGGATATCGTGAAAATGCACCTAGAAAAACTAACTTCATCCTATCCTAGTCTTGCCGGTTTTATCCCTAACCTGATTATGTCAGCCAGATGTTTAGACTGGATTGGACATTTTTATTCATGGGTTGAAACCCTCCCGAGGACCTGGAGTAGGCAGAGGTTGTTTTGATGGGGTTAGAAGTATGGTCGTAGAGTGTAAGCTATTCTAAATAAAACTGCCTTTTGCAATTGACCGATGGTGATTTTAGTCAATGCCGATAGTGTTCAAGTGGTGCTCCAGAGGTTTTGGGATTGTACCCAAGGCGTCTATCACTACCTTTGCTTTCTTTTGCCACAGGAAGGAAGGAAGGAATCTAGCTATATGAATCAGGAAGAAAGGAAGGCAGGGAGGCAGGGAGGGAGGGAGGGAGGGAGGGAGGGAGGGAGGAAGGAAGGAAGGAAGGAAGGAAGGAAGGAAGGAAGGAAGGTAGGAAGGAAGGA